GCAGAGAGGGTGCTCAGCCATTGGAATGGGCTGCCCAGGGAAGGGGTGGATTCTCCATCCCTGGAGGTGTTTAAGGACAGACTGGATGTGGCATCAGTGCCATGGGCTGGGAACCACGGTGGGGTTGGATCAAGGGTTGGACTTGATGATCTTGGAGGTCCCTTCCAACCCAGCTGATTCTCTGATTCTCTGATTCTGTGGTTCTCTGATTCTCTGATTCTCTGATTCTATGATTCTCTGATTCTATGATTCTATGATTCTATGATTCTGTGATTCTGTGATTCTTTGATTCTATGATTTATTTGGCACTTGGGAAGGGTTGAGTTGTCAGCACAGGAGGGTTTTGAGGATGGGGGGAGGATGATGGGCTGCAGATGATGGGAGTGGAGGAGGAGGAACGAGCTGATCTGAACCGGTGGCTTTGCTGGAGGAAAGGGGACAGGAGATGGTGTTGGGATGAGACGATGCCAGGATGAAACAGTGTCCCCAAATCCCAGGGGAGGCACGGGAGCAGCTTGGTCACAACCTGCCTTCACCTTGACATTCAACTTCTGGGAACTGTAGGGGTAGGACAAGGTGTAATGGGTACAAATTGAAAAAGGGGAAATTTAGGTTAAATATTAGGAAAAAATTCTTTGCTGTGAAGGTCGTGAGGCCCAGGATGCCCCAACCCTGGAAGTGTACAAAGCCAGGTTGGATAAGGCCTTGAGCAACTTGGTCTAGCAGAAGGTGTCCCTGCCCATGGCAAGGGATTGGGACTGAATGATCTTTAAGGTCCATTCCGACCCCTTAATGTTCTGTGAATCCATGATTCCATGATTCCATAATTCAGGGAAGGAGGCTTAAAATGCACCCAGTTTTATCCCACATGGCCTGGCAGCAAGTGGGACAAAGTCTGGCTTTGGGGTGGTGCATACAAAAAACCAGGGAAAACTTCCTATTTGTGGCAGCTCTTTTCCACCAGGATGGAGGGGCTGTTGGTCTGCAGAGCCTGGTTAGATCACCAAAGAAGTCAGAGATACAGAGCTGGTCCCAGCTTAGCTCCTAACCCAGTGAGTCCAGCTGCTCTGGCTGCACCAAATAAAGAGAGTTTAATTAATCACAGATCATTTCTGCCATGTCCCCCCATTAACCTCCATAGCAGACTAAATAATAACTCATTAAAGGCGTTTGAAGCTCGCAGGAACAGCACAGTTTACCAGCAAACCAGCTGCTCTTGGGCTCTAAACTGGGTTAATCTGTCATTGCTCCTGCTGGACCAACAGGGTCCTTGTTACTCATTAAATGGCTCCTCCAGGGAACGTGAGTCATGGAACAGTTTGGGTTGGAAGGCACCTTAAAGATCATCTTGTTCCAACACCCTGCCATGGGCAGGGACACCTTCCACTAGCCCAGGTTGCTCCAACCTGGCCTTGGACACTTCCAGGGATCCAGGGGCAGCCACAGCTTCTCTGGGCAACCTGGGACATGGCATCCCCACCCTCACAGCCAGGAATTCCTTCCTGATATTCAATCTGACAGAATCACAGAATTATTTAGGCTGGAAAAGACCTCTGAGATCATCAAGTCCCCCCTGTACCCGATCCCACCTTGTCCCCCAGCCCAGAGAACTGAGTGCCACATCCAGTCCTTCCTTGGATACCTCCAGGGATGGGGACTCCAAACCTCCCTGGGCAGCCCCTTCCAACATTTAATCACCCTTTCCGTGAATAATGTCCAACAGAAACTTCCCCTGGTGCAGCTTAAGACCATGTCCTCTCCTCCTGTCCCTTGTTCTCTGGGAGCAGAGCCTGATCCCTTCCCCAGCTCTCCCCTCCTATCAGGGAGTTGCAGAGCCAGAAGGTCCCCCCTGAGCCTCCTTTTCTCCAGGCTGAGCCCCCCCAGCTAACTCAGCTTCTTCTCATAGGACATATGCTACAGGTCCTGCCTCTGGCACTGGGAAGCCATTCCCTGTGTGCTGTCCCTCCATGCCTTGTCCCCAGTCCCTCTCCAGCTCTCCTGGAGCCCATTTAGGCCCTGCCAGGGGCTCTCAGCTCTCCCTGGAGCCTTCTCTTCTCCAGGGGAACCCCCCCAGCTCTCCCAGCCTGGCTCCAGAGCAGAGGGGCTCCAGCCCTGGCAGCAGCTCCGGGGCCTCCTCTGGACTCTCTCCAGCAGCTCCACGTCCTTGTGCTGTTGTTCCCAGGGCTGGAGCAGCTCTGCAGGGGGGTCTCACCTCAGACAGGGGCAGAGGGGCAGAATCCCCCATGGTGGAGCTGCTCCTTGGGCCACCAAATCCAGGGGACAGCGTAGAGGGAAGATGAAGAAAAATGGGTCACTGGGCTGAGAGTGAGGACTGGAAAGAGGGACAGGAGGAGGAATGTTCAGTCTCAGGGAGAAGAGTCCGTGAGAACAGTGCCAGCTCAGCAGAAACACCTTTGTTGTTCCAACTCTCTCAGGCTCAGTGAACACCCACCAAATCCCAGCCACGGCCCCCAGAATTCCCTACAAAGGCCCTGCCTTGTCACACAGAGAGGTGGGAGCCTTTGGGATGGCTGGATGTGCCTCCACGGGCATCTCAGGGGCTGTGCCCACGGGATGGGGGGGCCCTACGTGGGAGGTGTGGGCACCACCAGCCCTTTCCCCCCTCCCTGGGAGCACCTTGGACAGGAACAGCTCATTTACCTTTGGCCTTTGGGCAAAGGCAGCTCTTGTTTGTGAGCGAGGAGCTCGCTGGGCACTCGGAGTTCCCGGCTGGAACACCCAAGCTCAGCATTTCTGGATGGGAAAATAAAGGTCATCTTCCCCCTTCTGCTGAGAAACCTTTAATAAGGGGCAGAGGGACTTGCCTGCAGCCTCTCACCGCCCCCTCCCCGAGCCAGGGGCAGCCCAGGGCAGTGCCGAGATTTGGAAGGTCATTGGTGAGCACAGGTTTTAATTTGGGAGGCTTTGGGGAGGATTTAGGAGGCTCAGCCTCGCCCCTGTCCCAGGGACCTGGTCACACTCATGGAAACAAACCCCCAGCAGTGACTTTGACTCCTTTCATAACCCTGTTCACAAAGAGCACAGTGTGTCCCCTGGCATGGGGAGGGGGCTGGGAGGGTCCCCTGGGCACCTGGGGCTGGGCACTTGGGCGGTGTCACCCCTAAATATCACCCAGAGCCTTCCCTTCCTGCACCAAACTGCTGTGGAGGCCATCCCAGGGGTTCTCTGCAGCACTTTATAGGATCTCACACGGGGTGGCACCTGCACAGCTCGTGCTCCAGCTTTCTCCATGTTTGGGCAGAAAAAGAGGGGAAAACAGTGGGAAAAGGGATAAAACGCCCTGCACTGGATTTTACCACAGGAGGTAGAGTGGAACTGGGTGGGGGGCAGATCCACTCAGATGAATAACTCATGCCAGGCAGGATTTGGGGCTTGACAAACCCTGACAGGGAGAACAGAACCCCCAGCTCTGTCTGGGATGCAGGAGATGAGGGATCATTTTGGGGTGACTCCCTTCAGCCACGGGGTTCACCCCCGGCCCAGGAGGCAGCACTGCCCCGATATTGGAGCTCCTTAGTCCGTTTGGATACACTTTGCCAGGTGAGCTGTGAGCTCCTGGAATCAGGAGAGCTCAAAACTTCTTTATTTTTAAACGCCTTTTCTTTTTTTTTTTTCCCCCTCCTAACCGAGCCTCTGGAATGGCCCCATGGATCCAGGACTAATTAAAAAAAACGAGTCTTCACAGAGATCAGTGATGAGCCGGTGCAGAGGCAGGAGAGGAGTCGGAGCTGGAATTCCTCTCCATCCCCATCCGACATCCCGCTGCTTTTCCAGAGGCACCTTCCGGGCTCGCTGCTCTGCTGGCTCCGTTACCCGGTCTCGGCGCGCCCTCCGCTGGGCACAGAAAATGCCGGAAAAGGGGAGAAAAATAGTTCGTGACGTTTTTGCCCTCGCGTTTCACGGCACCCCCGGGTGTGCGGGTGTTGGTTGGACCCACGGCCCCACTCCCTGGCAAAGGGATGCTGCTCCCCGGGGTGATGTTGGCACCTGGGGGATGCTGGTACCCAGGAGATGCTGGTAAACAGGTGATGTTGGCACCTGGGGGATGTTGGTACCTGAGGATGCTGATATCCAGGGGATGCTGGTACCCGGGAGATGATTGTACCTGGGGGATGTTGGTACCCATGTGATGTGGGTATCTGGGGTGATGAAGGTACATGGGAGATGGTACCCAGGAGGTGCTGGCACCCAGGGGATGCTGGTAAACAGGGGATGTTGGCACCTGGGAGATGTTTGCACCTGGGGGATGTGGGTACCAGGGGAATGTTGGTACCCAGGAGATGCTGCTACCTGGGGGATGTTGGCACCTGGGGGATGGTGACATCCAGGAGATGCTGGTACTCTGGAGATGCTGGCACCTCAGTGTGTTGGTATCCAGGGTGATGTTGGTACCCAGGGGATGTTGGTAGCTGGAGGATGCTGGTACCCTGTGGATGCTGGTACCCAGGTGATGCTGGTAAACAGGTGATGTTGGCATCTGGGGGATGTTGGTATCTGGGCAATGTTGGTTCCCTTAGTGTGCTGGTACCAGGAGATGTTGGTACCCAGGGGATGCTGGTGCCTGGGAGCAGTTGGTACCTGGGAGATGTTGGTACCCAGGTGATGTTGGTACCCAGGTGATGTTGGTGTCTGGGGGATGCTGCTACCCTGTGAACGCTGGTACCAAGGTGATGCTGGCAAACAGGTGATGTTGGCACCTGGGGGATGTTGGTATCCATAGTGTGCTGGTACCAGGAGATGCTGGTACCCAGGTGATGTGGATAGCCGGGCAATGCTGGTACCCACGGGATGCCCCAAAAGTGCCACTGTCATTTCCCCCAGGGCAGAGCTCTGCTCCTGGATCAGGAATCACAAACCCAGCACATCCCTGGGGGTTACAGAGCGATGCCCAACACCCACACACAGGCACAGTGAGGCCAAGGGGGTGAAAACCCCTAAAAAATGGAAACATCAGGAGAGCTCTGAGCACAAAACGTGGAGTGATCACACTGCAGACAAACCTCCTCCCTGGACCTGGGAGTACACAGTTGCTTCATCCACCAAATTCAGCAGCCCCAGCCCCAGCCCTCTGCCAGAGCCACAGGATTTGCACATGGAATGTGCCTGATGTTTGCAAGGTCTCCTTCCCCTTGGAGCAGCTGTGGAGTTTCCTGGTCGAAAGGGTGGGGGTATCAAGACTGAATTTTGCTCCTGCTGCTTGTGGGGAGAGAGAAAAGAGAGTGAGAAGTGCCCCAGTTCCAGCACAAGGCAGACATGGACCTGTCAGAGCAGGTCCAGAGGAGGCCCCAGAGATGCTGCCAGGGCTGGAGCCCCTCTGCTCTGGAGCCAGGCTGGGAGAGCTGGGGGGGTTCCCCTGGAGAAGAGAAGGCTCCAGGGAGAGCTGAGAGCCCCTGGCAGGGCCT